GAAGCGGCTGTGCTGTAGTGTCATAGCACTGTTTTGGCTCTTTATCTCTCTACGCTGACTACAAGTCTTTTTCGGGCGGCGACGCCGAGCACCCGGTCGCCTCTTCGCGGGGCCTCCGGAAGGGGGCGGCCCCAGCGCGGGAGGGGCGCGGCAGAGGTAGGACTCGGCGCAGTGGCCTCTGTCCGGGCTGCGCGCCCCGACGCGGGGTGGCGGGGCGGTGGGGGCCCGGCGGAGCCACGCCGCGAGCCCGGGATCCCGCTCCGGGTCCAGCATTGCCCGGCGCCCCGCCTGCGCGCTCCCTCCGGTTCTCCTTCGCCGGCCCTGGGCGCGGGGTTGGGGGTGCACTGAGACCTCGGTCCGCCGGAATCCCACACGCCGTCCCCAATTGCCACCCCCAAAGCCGACAGACCCGCACCCCTTTAAAACCTCTTCAATGTCCAAGACGCCGCCACAGTGTGCCCGGCTCCTCGGGGATGCCGCAGGGCTCAGTGCATCCATTTCCATGTGGGAACCGAGAGCCTTCTCTAGCCACGCGGTGGTTTCCGAAGGCCAGGGCGCTTGACCCCCAAATCCTGGTCCCCTGGCCTGTGCCAGGAGCGGACAGACATTCATCTCTCCCCTTTTTTCAGAATTTTGCACAAGAGTATATAAAAGTGTTGGACACTTTATTGGAAGTCAAGTTTTTATGTGTAGGCTACGTATATGCAATCAAGAGTTGCACAAGTTAAACTTGTAACTTGATACATATTATCCACTTATTTTAGAAGGTTTTTGTTTGGGAGTGATAATTTTGTGTTTTGGGTTAAGTTTTATCTCTAAGATCTTTCATAATAGAGGGTTGATAGAAATTAGATTCTAATTTCCTTTTTGTAATGTGTACGTCTAACCAGTTCAAATTTAGTTCACCTCTTTGAAGAGCTGAAGTTAGGGTGAAATTAGAACTCTCTAACATCTCATTTGAATGGCTTGACTTTAGCTACAGCTCTACCTTACTGATGAACACTGTTACTGTTTTTAAAACGCAGAACAATCTACTTTGGGAAGTGAAGAATGGAATCCTTGGGAAGGAGATGAGAAAAATGAGCAACAACACAGATTTAAAACTAGTCTCCAAATATTAAATAAGTCCATGAAAGGGAAAACAGACTTCCGAGTACAAATCTGGGGCAAAGCTGCCATTGGTAAGTTAATGTGTAGAGCCAAGACATGTAAAAAGCATCAGAAAATGTATTTTATTAATACTCAATTCATTTTAATACATTTATAGTTTACTTCATTTGTTAAAAGTATCATGATGCATTTTTTTCAGTATTTTATTTCTCCTTTCTGTTAGGCAATATCTGTGTAAATACATGCACTCATTCTATTGTTGGTCTTTAGTTGAGCACAGGTTGATTTGTAGATACAAAGAATGGGTCATGTAAGCATTATTATAGTTAAATGCCTGTGTCAACTGAATTTTTATGAATCTATGTTTATCGATACTTGATACACAAGTACAAGTTGTGGCCACTTCCCTTGATGCCCAAACAAGTTTGGGCAACATTGAACTGAGCAAAGTTAAACCAGGTTCTTTTTTTATTTCTCAGAGCCTTTCATAGGCCAATATTCATTGTCAATTTCATTGTCAATGTCCAAGAAAAGGATATAGTATGCAGCTGATTAACCTTGATTGCCCACAAAAGCATTTTCCTCTGAGTATCATGAGAGCCTAGCATTCCAAGTTATATATTATGCTCAATTAGAGAATGGAACCCTCAATTCTTAGAAGAGTCAGAAAGAATTTAGTGATTTAGAAGGGGCTTTATTTGGCCTTTAAACATGAGTTGGATTTATACGTACAGTAAGGGGTATGGATAGAAAGTGCCAGATGAGAGGAAAGTAAAAGAGGACAAAGCCTGCCCCATGTTGTTTCATAAATTCATTCACACTTGCATGCAAATATACATGCAAGATTACTAACTGACCTTTAAATTTCAGGTACCCAGAACCAGGCCTCCAATCATCAAGTTCTAACAATTTTTTTCTTTATAAAATCTCTAATATTAATTTCTTCTTTTAAATTACCATTTTCTCATTCTAGTTTTTAATTAAATCTACATCTTAACAAGTTTTCATTATTTCCAGACTTTTCGTTTTTAATCTAATAAGCACAAGGTGGCAGATGAGTTTTATCAGATTTTACTTTCATCAACCTATTCCCCAGGCACAGTAATAGCATACCAGTTATAGATATTCCCACTTAAAAAGGGAGAAACTGGTAGTAATATTGAGTCACTGGTCCAAACAGTTTTGAAATTCAACCAGGAAAACTCCATTAGTTTCAAGGCCTGGGAATAATCTGTGGCTCAAGCTTTGCTTCTGGCCTTTCAGCTCTGGCTTTGAAGTCATTCTTCCTTTTTCATGAAGGTTAGCAAGTGTTTTCAGATCAGTAGTTTTCCAGCCTGTTTCTTGAAGATAGGATTTTGGAAGTCCAGCAGCCTCCTCTCATTTCAGCTTCTCTGGGTCTCTTTTAGTCCAAGCTGCCAGTGTTTCTGCTGATAAAACATTCTCAAGAACCTTGTGGGTCTCCTATGTATGTCATGAGGACTTGTTGCATTAGGAAAGAGCTCCTCCACAGGTTTTTCCTGGACAACCCCATCTCTATTTCTGGCTTCTGCTAAGATTACTGAAGGAGATACATAAATTATTCATCTAATATCTTCAAAGAGCCCTCTATATGACTAAATAGTATGATCTTTTTATATTCTGAGGCTCTAGCCCAGGGGTGGGCAAACTTTTTGACTCGAGGGCCACAATGGGTTCTTAAACTGGACCGGAGGGCCGGAACAAAAGCATGGATGGAGTGTTTGTGTGAACTAATATAAATTCAAAGTAAACATCATTACATAAAAGGGTACAGTCTTTTTTTTTTTTTTTTAGTTTTATTCATTTCAAACGGGCCGGATCCGGCCCGCGGGCCGTAGTTTGCCCACGGCTGCTCTAGCCTAAAGATATCAAGTCATATCCTTGGCCTCCTCTCAGAGCATTCTTTTCCGACAGTGAATCTCCTAAATTTTCACCTCTTTTGCAATCTGAGTAGGCTGGAGAATTTCCTAAATC